CATGTAAGTATATGTAATGAAAATATAAGATACAGAGATCGCACTACTTTTAAACTTGAGTTCACACGTGCCCACAACTTTTGTCTTTAGTGTACTAGATTTAAAACTTTATAACTAGAACAGGTTGGTAGTTTGTATACTGCTGGTCTCTAGTATATGTTACCATTTTTCTCACGAAAAATTATATTTTGAAAAAAAATCAAGAAAAAAAATTGAAATTTTTTTCAACCATACGTATATCACGTCGTATGAGTGGAAAAGTCTTTAATAGCTTGATTAAAATTATTTGCGAAAGGTAAAATCAAATCATTTATAGCGTATATAGGTGTAATTGCTCGATTTTCTGCATTCTATGAGAAGCTTCGAGGCTTGTCATCATGACCATAACGCACTTTTGACATTTTTTTGAAATGTGGATTTGTATAAAGGAATTCTGAAGACGAATAATTAGAGATGGTCCCTAAATTGATCGAACTTTTCGTTTTCGATCAGTTTCTACAACAAATGATGAAGTGCTCCTTGTTTGTAATGAAAAAAAGGCTTGAGCAATATATTCTCCCACGCATTCTCGATCAACTCCTGTAAACAGATCTTTCATCAGTCATATCTCTTCTCCATCCTCTACTATTAGCAAAATATATGATCTCTTTTTCATCCAGATCCATAAGAAAATAGCCGATCCTCTTTAAGAATCTATTCAGAAGGAAAATTTCTTTATACTTGAATGAAATCCTCATCTGATGCTGATTCCAGCATCAGTTGCAATAGATCCGTTCGATTTGTATAACCCAAATTGACTCTCTTCTTGATCAATTCTTGTGCTTGTTTCTGTATCCATATGGCTGGCTCATCACTGATCAATTTCTGTGTTAAAGGCACATAATAGTGAAGTTGGCATCGAACAAAAGTATCAATTGCATGCAACGTATCCCAAAACCGTTTAAATTCAGGCATGAATAGATATAAAAGTATGATCTTACTCAGAAAACACTCTGCACTGAATACACGTTGTGATTGAATAAGATAACGATCATTGGGATTGTTCTGCATGTCCGTATCCAGACCGAATCCACACGACCATATAGTATCCATTGTAAAACGTTTCAAAAATGCATAGATATCAAATGATTGACCAGATTGATATTGTTCGGTTAGTTTTTTCATTAAAGCAGTGACACTACGATTGATTAATGGGGACATTTGTTTAAGTTTTGCTGATGAAAATGTCGGGTTGATAATAAAGCGTTGTCGTTTCCAACGAAGACTTTGAGCATTGAATAGATGACAGCT